CTAGGTGCCGACCAGCCGATCGGTCGGCGGGTCGGCAGCCGACCAGTCAAGGGCCGCCGACCGTCGGGGTGTGCAACCCTGACCCCTGGTTAAACTCAGAGCCATAAGGTTCTGGCTCCTACCATTCTGGGGAGCAACAGTCCGGTTCCTATTCCCCCGGCAAGTAAATGATGAATGCAATAAGGATGCACACACACTCCTCCCCATTATGGTTGGGAGGCCCCAGTGGACGGCATTGATTACTTCCTTTTGGAAGGATGTACCACCCCTCACCCCTGCCTAAGTTAGCCTGCTTGACTTAGGACCTGGCACTGTAGGTAGGCTGGCTTCCGCTACTTCTGTTTGTGGCATGAGTTGTATCTGCGTAGGACTTGACTAGCTTACTCCTCTCAGCTGTTCGGCTGTCGGACCAGATTTAAGTACTGAAGTTACTGGCCAGCCTCATATGCTGTTGGTTTTGCTAAGTAGATAGAACAGTAGGTGTTCTGGCATTTGATGATGTTTGAAATTTCCGTTAATCTGAAGTTGTAGATAGCTTCTAAGGCCTGTGCCCTGCACGCTAAACCCTAATCCCTTACTCTCCCTCTGCCTCTGGCCGTGTTTCTGGACTTTTTAGTGCTGGAACTGCTGATGCGTCCTCCTATGGTAAAAATCTATATGGGCCGTGCTCTGTGGGGCAGTACTTGCTGTGATCCTTACTAAAACCCTAAACCCTTGCTCCCGTGGTGAAAATCTGTATGGGCCGTGCTTTTGTAGGTCGTATGAGTTCTTGTTGGTATAGCCATTTAGAATTGTTTCCTTGTTGTAGTAGTTGGCCGTTTCCTATGTTGATTTCTGCTTCTTCAAGTTCTTCTTTCTTTTTTTTTTTTTTTTCTTTTTCTTCCTACTCTAGCACATAAGAGGGGTGACCACTTTAATTGTCGAATAGTTAGATTTGTTCATCGGGACTGTCATGTGGTCCGTGATTGTGTTGCGCCTCAGTTTGTGGTCTGGGTGAGAGTGGAGGGTTCCCTGGGACCTGGATACTGTTGATTGGCATAGTGAACCAGTCTTTCAAGACTAGTCTGTTTCCTTTTATCATGCCTAGCTTTCCCCCTCCTAGTTTTCCCACCGTAAATCTTTTTATACTCTCGAGCTTTTTGTCTGGGGCGTTTTGTATTTGGTTCTGAGTTTTTTTTCCAGAGGGTGTGGAGTGCAGTTTCTATTAGTTGCTTGATAGTTATGAGGGGGTTTTCGTGATTAGTATGGTGATCGTCGAAAGTCAGGTCGCACCTCCTTTTCCAGATCGCCCACAGTGAGGCTTTTGCAGTAACTCGTGTGCAGCAAGGGCTGTACGGGGCTCAGACCCGCCCCAGGCCACGCAGAACTTTACTGCTCTGCGTTGGGCTGTGTGACCAGGCACTGCCCAGGCCACAGACCGCTGCGTCCGGCTGTGAGACCGAACGCTGCGCGTGGAAATTCAAAAGTCTTCCACTGTAGAGTCAAAGGTACCAGGCCCTGGCCCTTGTCTGGATACACTCACTTGTGGTGTGCAGGTACCAAGACACCATCCAGGCCGAAGAGGATTCGGTTTCAGAATAATCTGAGCTCTTGTCCGCATTGAGATCTGGACGACTGAGGGAGGCAGCATCCGGGGCCTAGCCCCGAGTCAACAATATATAAGGGCTGACTTCCCGGCATTGACATTCATTCAGTCTTGCGTCAATGCTGACTTTCTGCTTTGACGACGACGCTGGCTCTATGCCGAGATGCTGGCTGTACGCTAGTTTTTGGCTGGCACTTGCGAGATACAGTGACGTGCCGCTCGCCAGGCATGGTGGCTGGCTTGCTCTTGTCTACTTGGTATGCTGACGTGGCAGCTGCCACGCGTTGCTGCTGACGTGGCCGCTGCCACGTGTATTCGATGCTGATGTGGCGGCTACTTTGGAGAGATACAGCTGTTCTGATTCATCGTATTCAGGAGGAGATCATGACTGTGGGAGGATCAGAGATACGTACCTGTTTATCTT